TTCAAACTTTAATGAGATACTTAAAGACTGCTTTGAGACCACTGACTGGCAGATATTTGAGGATGCAGCTGATGGCAACATTAATGAACTCACAGACTCTGTCAATGGATATATTGAAAAATGCATAGATGATATCATCGCCAAAACCACCGTCTGCAAATAGCCAAATCAGAAACCCTGGGTAAGACATTCATGCTAAGCTCAAGGTGCGGACCTCTGCCTTTAACTCAGGGGATGCTGATGGATAGAAAGCAGCCAGGTATGAAAGTGGAGTCCAGTTACCACAGCCTTTATGTCCGGCGACCATAGCTGGACTAGGCATCGTGCATACCGGGCAAATGCCCAGTGGGCCGATGTGATTTTTCGTATTTATGGGCCGATGGTTTGGTTTTTTGTTTGTTGTTCTGAGATTTTTTGTAACGGTATAAACAATGAAAGGTGGAGAATTGGCCAGATGCTGGGAGATGTGTAAAAATAACTCAGTTGTTTGGTGGTGGCTATGGCAGAGCTTCCACAGAGGCCAGCAGGTGGATGAGGGAAAGGGGAGGCAGGAGGAGGAGAGACCCGAGGCGGCCCCCGGTCCGAGTGTCAGGTGAATTGAACTTCAGGTAAAAAGTTATGACCTGCAGTCTATCTGGGTCAGATATAAACCAAGTTTAGGTGGAGTTTATTTTCGTTGCGTTGACTTTTTACAGTCAGTTACAATAATGCGTACTAGCTAGCATGACAGAGTTTCTATACAGCTGGGGGGGAGTTGCCAACCGTCCCGTAAAAGACGGAATTGTCCCGTAATTAGAGAAAATATTACGCGTTTCGTATTGAGCTGAAAAGGAATGCAGTTTGTCCCGTACTTCAGCTAGAATGGAAAAAAACACAAAGCTGGAATTTTTCTGCGTCTTTATGCTGTCAGCTGCCTCTTCTTCTCTCATTCTCTCCCCTCAAATTTAATTTTCTGTAAATTGCACATCTCTCGTGTTTGTAGGCCACCGTATAACGATAAGAATAAGAACATGCGTCTGTATGTATAAGACAACCAGGCATACCCTGTATTACTGTGATTTATCAGACAGGCCACAAGACCTTTATTCACTTAAACTCTGTAATAAAGAATAAAGTAAAGTCTTGAGCTAAAAAACATCTTTGAATCAAGCCAAGATCAATGAGAGAACCATTACAGCCAAGTCATTTACAAACAATCACACCAGACTAGAAATGAAAGACTTCTGATTTCACTTGGTTGAGTGAGGAAATGTTTGTGTACATATAACACAGTTGTGTTGAGTCCATGCAGTAATTGTAACTCTTGGCACTTTAACAGCATTTATTCTCACTTTAGCTTCTCATGTTTATAATATATCTTGGGGATAGCACCACATTGTTATGTGTTTATGTATGTGTGTGTTAGGGACAATATTCTAAAACACTTCTTCAGTAAAGACTCAGAGAAGAGAAACACACAGAACTTCTTGCTAGCAAGGGCAGCCTCTAGACTGAGACTCGCGCTGAGCTTTGCCCTGGTCTTTATTTATACTTCAGTGGTGTGTGTGTGTGTGTGTGTGTGTGTGTGTGTGTGTGTGTGTGTGTGTGTGTGTGTGTGTGTGTGTGTGTGTGATCAAAGGGTCATAAAAGGCACATCCTTGGTCAGGAAGAGGGTAGACCTCCCTCACCCTAGATAACATTGGTGAGGAAGTCAAACAGTTAAAGCACTTAGACTAAAACAGACGTAACTACGTTAATCCTACCATAAAACAATAAAACAAGGTACGAACTCTCCCATTCTCCCAGGGTGTGGGGGCGCATTCCTGGAGTGCACCCCAAGCCTGCAGCCTGTTAGAGATCACACACAATTGATTATATGCCTCTAAGTCTACATGGTTGAATATTTCCTAATACAAATAACTACATGCAGTATTCTACCATATGCAAACTTATATCACTAAAAGATTATACTGACTACTAAATACAATTTTCCATTAACAGTGTGTCAATCTGTGTGTGTTGTTCTCAAATGTTACCAATGGAGCTTAATGATCTGTTTATGGTTTTATAATCCTTTACAAAATATAATACGTTTACTTAGACAATGATATGTAGAACTGTCTGAGACTATGTTTGATGTGTGGTTTGGCAGAGCAGTGAGGAAATGTTGGCCTTGCTGTTATTGTACTTTCTGTTTAAATCAACATTTAATTGTTATTTTGGATTTTTATTGCAATGCATTTGTTATTTTTTTTAAGCCTTAAGTGTCTTTGTTTTTTGTTTATTTTCGTTTTGTTTTTTGTATATAAAATTAAAATTGTAAAATGTCATGTTTCAAAACAGTTTATAAGAAAACAATTCAGAACATTAAAAAATGCAATGTAATGACTATAAAGTTGTACAATAAAACAAAAATGTGTTGCCAATATTTGTTGAACCCTTGTGCTTTGTTTCATATTATATGTATATTGTGCCATATAATTTATTTTAAGCGTAATTGAAGGTGTGGGGACCCTTTGTAATGTAAAGCTCACATGCTTGTTCAAAGTTAATAACTAAGTTTAAAACTAGGGCCACCAGTTTCTACTCTGGTTTAAGTTTCCACATCTGTTTTAAATACTTCTTGCAGCTGGTATCTGAAAAAGCACTGCATTCCTGTTCAGTTCTTATGATTGGAGCATACGTCTTTAGCCAGCATGCAGAATAATTGTGATATGGTACTGTTCAAAATTATCTTAGAGCTTAAACTTGTGATGATATCCTGTTCCAGTTTTTTTTTTTTTACATTCACCTAAGTGACCAGCTGTTTACTTTTTACTAAGCTAAACAAGTTGCTCATTGTTACTGCTGCTCTTAGAGGTCAAATTGTGGTCTACAAGCTTGTTTCTTTGCTCTGTGCCTCTATCTGTGGTGAAACTTGACAATCTGTGGAATCAGCAGTTTAAAACTGATTTCCAGAGTGTGCCAGAGATGAAAAGGAACTTTCTAAGGAAGACCAGCAGTTTTTGATTAAAGTTTCCAGTACTGCCAAGCTACTTAATGTTCAGTATTACATTGGATTTCCATTTAAAGATTTAAAAGTCTGCATGCCAGATAATAGAAGTGTTGCTGAACAATGCCTTCAGAATCTGAAGAAAAGCTTCATGTCAGATATAATCTGTAAAGATTATGAATGTGAGAGTGAATGAATAGTGGTATTGTAAAGCGCTTTGGGTGCCTTGAAAAGCGTTATATAAATCCAATCCATTATTATTATTATTATTATTATTATGGAGAAAAAGTCTCAGACAGAAACTTGGAACGCAATGATGGCAGGAAATGATATTTGTCACATCATGGTGTTCTGCATCCACAAAAAATTAGAGTGGTGTTTGACTGTGAAGCAGAGGAGTGTCACTAAATAGCCAGCTTTTAGAAGGTCTTGACTTGACCAGCACATTGATCAGAGTTCTAACAAGATTCCATAGAGAACCTATTGTCATTGCAGCAGACATTAAATCAATTAAACGTTTAAATGTTTCACCAGGTTAAAGTGCCAGAGGAGGATTAAGATGTGTTAAGGTTCCTTTGGTGGCCCGCTGGAGACTTCACTTAAACAATGGTTGAATATAGAACGACAGTACATGTGTTTGGAGCAACATCATCTTTTATCTTAGTGCAAAACTCACATTTTGCACTAAGGAAATGTGCTGAAGATCATAAACTACAGTTTTACCTTCAAGCTGTGGATACCATCTTGAACAACTTTTACGTCGACGATTATCTCAGCTGCCACAGAAGAGGATGCAATAGCTCCCTATCATGAATTCTGTGCAATATGCTTGAAAGCTGGCTTTCTACTCAACAAGTGGATAAGTAACAGTCGTAATGTGTTGGCTGTAATACCTGAACTAACAGAGCAAACGAAATAAAGGGTCTAGACTTGATGCCTGCCCGTAACAGTGATGGGCTTCCAAGGGAAAGAGTTTTGGGTGTGCAATGGTGTGTTGAGCCCAAAGTTCAGAATCACTTTGGAAGATTGACCTTTGACATTGACATGGGATCTTCTTTCTCTCATGGGATCCTCTCTCTGGGATCCTCTCTGTGGTCAGCTCTGATTATGACCCCCTATTGGCACCAGTAATTTGATTGCTAAGAAGATTCTGCAAAAACTATGTTGAAGAAAGATTGGATGGGATGATGCATTACCTAATGTAGTCATGCAGGAACGGATTATTTGGATGCAACATCTCTACAAGCTGGAGGACCTTAAAGTTAATTGTTGTTTAAAAACCAACAGTTTTGGAACTGTGAAAACTGCTATTATGCCATTAAATATTTCATCATGTGTATTATTAATCTATGTAACTACTTCTGTTTTACAATGTCATTAATCAAGAGATGTTGTAAACATGACATGCAATTCCTACATACCAACAATCGTTTTATTGCATTTAGTTTTAGATGCAGAGATTTCAGTACACACAATATGTGCCAATATTGTCCTTGTTTATTTGTCTGTGAAGGTTCTTGTTTATTTCCATTTCCTAAATCTCATTTCCTCTTTACTCCTATTTGTAAAATACCACAGTATAGCTGCTGTGCATAAAGAAGGGAGCTTTATTTTCTAGTGTAGATATATCATTTCCAAATCTATATTATTTACTTTTATATCCAGCATTTGACCCAATTAGCTTATTAATGCACACACAGCTCTCTCTCTCTCTCTCTCAACCTCTGAGTACATTAAGAAGACGAGACTGAGAAAGCAAGCAAAGATTGGAACTATATAGCATTATAATGGCACTGACAGAATGTCTCTTGGACTTCCAGATAACTCTGGAAAATTGTGGTCAATCCAATTGTAGCGATGGCAGCAGAGTTTTCTTTGTAGTTTTGATATTCCCAAGAGCAGTGCCATATTCCTGGAAAAAAAAAATCTGAAGGCAAAATTATTTCATTTAACTCCACTCACTTTGTGTCATGATCTGCTGTGTGCAAGCAGGAATGGGACACAAAAGCAGAGTCACTGAGGCAGAACATGAACTCAAAACATCTGAGCTTTATTTGCTGGATGAAAGGCGATACAAAACTAAACTGGGAAAGTTCTACTAATAATACACTTGTGGAAGCATAGAGAGAGACACAGCCATGAGGGAGGGCGTGATACCAAACTGAGGGAGACCCTGACATAAATACACAGAAAGATAACGAGGGACATGTGAGCACACGGGGAACACAGCTGATATAAATAGTCATAACGAGAAAGGGGAAGAGCAAACGCCATGTGACTGATGGGAGAATATCATAGTTATACGGGAAGTACACGGAGATGCTGACTGGAGGGGGAGAGAGAACACGGAGGAGCACGAGGGAGAGAGAGGACATGACGAGCTGGGGAACATAGATAAACATGACGTAATAAAACACAAGGAGAAACACGGCACAAGGACTCACACAATTAAATAAATACAGACGCCCACAGGGAAACACAGAGAGCAAAGACACAAAAGGGAATCTAATAAACAAAAGCTAAACAGAATAACCAAGGGACTACAGAATCAACCCTAGAATAACACAGTAAACTAACATAATACAAAATGACAAAAAACACAAGAAACTCAAAACACTGGGTTAAATGACCGAGAACCATGACAGTTTATATTTCAAGAGATAAAATAACTAGTTCCTCTTTGCATCCAGACATCCCTGCATCTCTGTGTGGCTGATTTAAACACATGTGAGTATCCAGGTGAGTATTTACCATAAGCCCCAGCGGCCGACACTCCAAAGATAAGCACCCCAACAGCAGCGCATACAACAGACTGACAAGCTTGGCTTTCACCAAACCACTGAGACAGGACAGGTGGACAGGATGGAGGGACAGTTAGGACATTTATAAGACATTACAGCATCAATTTTAAAGAGAAAATGAAGCCATAACAAAGATGTTATATTCATTCACATGTATCCAACTTATGCAATCTCATACAAAGCCTCTGCCACAATTTCTACTGGTACCATTTACTTTTTCGCTAGCACTGTCCAATAGGTAACATTTTATATTGGCTGCTGAGGTTATTGTGAGGGCAGTAGAGTATTTGCACTGAAAAATGCTCTTAATATTTACTCCAAATTATTAACCTACATGGCAAAAAGGAAATGCAGAGATCATGTAAAAGCAGAATTCGTGTCAAGGTTCTTATTGAATTTAATTACACTGTGCAGGTGTTCCTTATGAAGAGGATGGTAAATATATGCTGATAACCACATGTTTTAGATAATAGCTTGGGACCTTTTTGATAACAAACACATTATCTGAAATCACTGACAAGTATACTAAAATACTCATATATTCGCATGTTAAGAAGAATGATTGTCAGTGAATGTATTCTGTTGGTTTTCTTATTAAGACAGAACATGTGATAAAGTATTTCAGAGCTTAAGTTCACACATGATGATCCACGGATATGACAATGTTAACTCTTCAAAGATTCGGGTGGCGATGTCCTTAGCGTTCAAGCTGTTAATCCACCGAACCAGTCAATTGAGTTTCTTGCCTGAAGAAGATGACTTGGATCTCCATAGAGCCGAGCTGACAGAGGAAAAAGCAAACACAAAACTCAGAAAGCAACTAAAAGCCAATCATCTAAATGTTTGTCACAATCCATTTTGTTCATCGTCTTGCTTGTGTTTCATACCAACAGACTACAGAGCGAGTTAAACAACTGCTACCAAGACCTTTACACTGAACTATGGTTTCAATGCATCTTTTATAGATGACTCTTCTCTGTCATGAGGGAATATCAGAATCAAACATTTAAATGACTTTGTCATACTTATCTTCAAGCTAAAAAATATTGAAGACTTTGATTATCGGGGGTCAATCTAGCAGTAATGTAGTTGGTAAACAGACTAATTCTTACATAGTGCTTTTCTACTCTACTTGAGCACCCTGCCTCCTGAGCTACAGCCCATTGCAAATGTTGTTGTTTTTTTTCATGAGCTTAGAATAGAGGCACAAACATTTTGGCATAAGTATTCTTCAGTAAAACTGGGAGTAGTGAAGTATAAAGCAATAAAAGTCCAAGATGTAAAGAGAGTATAAAGAGCTCCACAGAAACACGTCTACTCTATTCGGTGCTCACTGGCGCCCCCTGTTTTTTACACCTTTGACCCTCTATAGAAACAGGGGAGATTTTACAGTCCCCTGTCTCCTCTTACAGGGTCATCTAGAGACTGCTCCTTGCCTCTTCTCCCATCCTCATATACATGATCAAGAGGCTTCACAACCTGTGGGATTCCCCCACACGGGGTGTCACCCGCTTTCTCAGAGGCGTAGCTGTGTGTGCAATAAAGTTAAAATTCAATGCTCTTCCACATGTGTACCCTTTAAATGACCCAAAAGAGATATTACAAAACAAGTAACCAATATTATAAAACAAAAAGACATTTCCATTACACAAACCATACAGGAAGTCGTGCTCGCTGTCTTTCCTGTCTCTGTGTATATATACTCTGTGGTTTGAAAAAAGAGCCAGTATATGTTGGCACTGCTGCAGCTACGATATCTCTCTGGTAGTATGTCCATTTACTTTTCTTACATGTACTTTTTAAATGTAGTGTACTTGTAATCCTCACAAGACCAGCCAACAGGGATTTTTTTAAAGCGTGCCTCTTTGTTTGACTTCCTTGTTCACATACTGGCCCTGTGGTTTAAATTAATGTCATTTTAATGTTTGACATGTGTCTCACATAGTAGCTCCATAACCTGATATTTAATCAGTGACATCTTTCTGATGGACAGATGTCTATCTTATTATATATTTACACCCTCTGTTCAAACAGTCTTTCTCTTTCATGAAAGACAAACTCATTTTGCACATTTCATGGTTTCAAGGTGTGAAAATGGCTGGTGGTGCATTCACACTAACCTCAAAGCGAAGTTTTACATTGTGTTACATGCATAAAAACATTTGCTCCTGATAACCAAGCGAATCAGCTAAATTTCAGGCAATAGCTGAATTAAGTTACTGAAACATATTTTCAGAGCTTGCAATGAAACCTGTGATGTTTAGAAGGGATCAGGAAATCTGAGGTAGCAGCAAACAGGTAGAGTCCAGGAATAAAGTTAGAATTCCTTATATTCTTTGTGTGTGTGTGTGTGTGTGTGTGTGTGTGTGTGTGTGTGTGTGTGTTTATGCACTTGCATTTGTTAGACCTTTACTAGTCTTCAAAAGATAGTATTAATTAACTATAATAGATTTATCTCCATCTCTCCAAATCCCAGGACACAAAACATCAAAAGTAATTTTTCACCCTTCAGTTTGATTCATAGGGGCAGATCGCTGTACATCAAAACAAATGTGAACTTATCACCATATGATAACTGTTACTTTTTAAACTATTATTTCAGGTAAAGAAACATGGCTTCTAGTGGCATCCTTGTTTTCAGTTTCACTGCCCTCTGTCACTGCAGTCAAGAGTGGTTGTAAGTTCTTTCATTATTTGAGAACAAGCATGAAAGGTGTGTCCTGCTCATATCACCCCATCTGTCTTTTTCTACAGGTTTTATAAATGTGGAATGCAAAACTGAAAATGTGGGATTCCACGGCCAACAGTCACTGTTAGAGTGTATCATCCGGACAACAAAAGACGTACATGATCCAATTATACGTGTGGTCAGTTGGAAAAAACTGGCCTCTCCAAAAGATGAAGACGGCCTTCCCTTAGTGGCTTTTGTCAAAGGGAAATTAGAGAAAAAGCCAGGCTACAGGTTTGCTGATCCATCCTGGGACGAGAAAAACATGAATGTATCTCTGCTCATCGCCAAAACCTCAGTAGCAGACGAAGGACTTTACAATTGCATGGTGATCACAGACAGCAGTGATGACAATGCGGTCACCACCCTTAAAGTTCAAGGTAAAACTGAAACATTTTACAAGGTTTTAGCACAGACTAATTATCTTTTTAAATGAATAATTTATACAAGAAATTAAACCTTTTAACAACTTCAGATGAAATGAAGTTTGATTGGTGACAACTTCTTATTACATGTCAGCTACTATCGCTATCACCAGGTCTGGGCTGGGACATGTCCTGGTATTTTTTAGTCCATTTAAATATCTGCACATATTCTCCACCAGTGCAGAGTGCCTCTTCAAACAGGCTTTAAGCCTGTATGATTACTGGCAAATGATATTGACCCGTCAGTCCACCAGTGGGTATCCCAGATTACCAGTCCAACCCACATCTTTTTAAGGTTTCATGTTCAGTTTATTGACACTGCTATAGAGCCCTGGCTGTCATATGTTCCCCTGCGTGGCAACTGATTGCTCAGTCTGTAGGTAACGGAGCTGCAGCAAGTTTATTGGATTTTCCGGCAGAGTCGGACTGATGCTGGCATGGAACTATAAGTTAACTTTGTGTGTACTGTGTTTCAGTATTAGTATTCATATTAGTTTTCACATTAGTATTCAATGGTATTTACATGCTAGTATTCATATTATTCATATTAGTAGTGTCAATGTAGTATTTCTGCAAGGTATGTTGTTACAGTGCAGGGTTACGATCAGATTTTGTTGTGTTATTTGCCTTTATATTTAGGTTTATGAGCTACTAAATAGTTGAAAGAAACATTTAAATATTTTCTACTTATACATACAGTATTCCATAACCATTTTTCCACTGGCCACTCCATGCGCTTGATCTGTGTCAGCAATAAACCGTGACATCGTCAAATGTCTCTGACAATCGAGCATTACAGGAGAACAGCACTGATAACACATTTCAGAGACAGTGGGATTTTGTGTACAATATAATAGACAACGCAATGTTCAGTAATACAATGAAATACTGTTCAATAATTTCAGCCACAGTTAAATTCAAGACCATGCTTTAAGTTAAATTTGAAACATGTTGCATAGACATGTATTGGTTAAGGATTTGAACAATCAAATGCCATAATTCATAATTCAACTGTAGAATAGCTTTAAAGTTGAGTTAAAAGGTTTATCTTGAGATAGTCAAACTGAATGCCAGCATATTGACACAGATGGGCTGCAGGATCTTGCCCAAGAGGTAGAAATCCAGCCAGAGACAAGCCCTGCTCCATTACCTACCTTCACTCCCACATGGGGTGGCAGCTGAGGTGAGTTTCTGTTGAGTGTCCTGAGTTCATGTATTATTGTGAGTTAATGAGTGACTTAAATCACACTTTATTTCCTTTCAGAGTTAGCAGTCCATGTGTCTTTCCTTTAAATGTTTAAAACCCACAGACACACCCAGAGTAGTTGCTTTTCTGGTTGGCTTTGGATTGTTGATCGTAGAATGGTTGGTTGCACTGCTGTTCTATAGAAGGTGATTTCTGTTTTTTTTCTTTTTCCAACTTTGTTTTATTGATTTCAACAATGACATACAAAGTTAGCAACAGCAAAGTCAATCTTGATTTCAGAACAGTTGTATGTCCATTATACCCTCCTATAGAAGGTGATTTCAATGTGAGTACAGATCACTTGTTCTTTGTTTTGGTTAAAATGAATTGATGCGTTGTATGTCATTAAATGAACTGCATCTACTGACAGACAAAACCACATGTAGAACTACTGATGTTTTAACAATTCATCCATCCATCCATCACTTATCTGAAATCTGGTTGTTTTGGCATAAGGCTAAGCAAGGTGTTCCCATATACAATGGGCAATATCCCCACTCAGCACTTCTCCTCCCTGACCAAACAAGGCCTGAGCCAAGCGCTGATTTTCCCTTTTGAAGTCACCAGACAAATTCCGAGAACTCCTTTAAGGCTTAAAGCCCTTTACCCTCCCTCCCTGAACTCCTGCCACACATGAGTTTTTGCTTCCACAAAGGCTAAACCTGCAGCAAACCTGCAGAAATTCTCCTTTTTTCTTCAGCCTGGTGATTTTCCCCACCAGCCGTGTTCACCCATGGCTCCTCATGTTGGTGCCATGACCAGCATGGTTTCAATTATACAGTTATACACAACAACACCCGAGAGCCACCTCTGCAATGAGCTCAAGACAGAAAATGACTCTTACTCAACGCAGAACGATAAACGCATGAACAAAATTAAGCCAACAATAATAAACAAAACTAAAGCTATAGAATAACAACAAAAAACAAACAGATCTCAACACCAGTGTTTGGGTTTATCCGTCTACAAGTAATTTAAATTATTTAAAGTCTTTTGCTTGATTTGATTTTCAGAACAGTTTTACATCATGAAATTTTTGACTAGTTCAGTAACACTTTGAGATATATAGCTAAACTCACAAGTGAAAGATTTATGATCTCAAATCTTTTTGAGCTTCTTGAAATAAGTGTTTGGAATTTAGCCCCTAAATTCACCAGCTTTACATGCTGCTCATTACCAACGATTGACACTATGGACTAACAAGCCATTTGTGCAACAAACTTTACTGTTTCTTCTGATTTGTCCTTTCAGAAAGTAAAGTTTCACACTGGACATCCACTTTCTTGATCTTGGGAAAACATTTTGTTTTGGTCACATATCATGAACACTTAAAGGTCATCTGGCTCCATTTCAGACACTTACAGTGGGTATCCAGTCACTTTGCATGTCATGAACTTGTTTTTTCATGGTTTTTACATCTCCCTATGGTAAACACTTACATAGTGTTATAAATCTTTAAAGCTGATCAGTAGGGATGGGTATCCGGTGCCATTATGGTTCTGACATAAACGGTAGTAACCAGACCGAAAAGCAGTGCACATTTCGGTGCTTTTTTTCCCTGAGATGTCACACACTTTGAATTCTAGCCAATCATTTTACCTTTCCAAGGGTAGTAGGCAGGCCCAGGTACGTACGTTCTTTTAGAGCAGAGCTACAGATTAAAAATGCCCAAGGCGAAGCGGTCAAAAGTCTGGCTGTACTCCACAGCAAAAGATGCAAACTCAGCAGCCTGCAACAAGTGCTTTAAGGTGATACTGTGCAAAGGAGGTAACACCTCGAATCTGATGAAACACCTGGCGACGCATAGCGTTTTTTTAAAAGCCGAGAAATGCGCCGTATTTGATAGCTTGCTGCAAGACCTCACACCGAGCACATCTACTTCGTGTGTCGTGTCTGTTATCGGACCCGGAGTTAGCAGCCGTTCTTCTCTGTGTGACTAGCTTAATGTTGTCTGTGTGTAATTTACATTGAGTAGGCTAACCACGTTATTAAATTAATGCATGTAAGGTGAACTAGCAAACACCGTCGTAGTTACATGCGGCTGTCTTCTTGTTTGATGGCAGATGCTCCCTTCACCCTGGCCAAAAAGGCTAAAATGACCAAAGAAAAAGAGGGAAACAGCTAAACATGAGAGGTTTTTGATTAAAGTTTGTGGTTTTTCTCCATTGTTTAAGCACTGCTTCCAGCCAAGAGTGATACCATATATGCCCTATAGCTGCAGAAAAGGCTAACATTGTTATCTTTTTACAAAAAGAACAGCTGAACATGAGAGGTTTTTGGACAAAGTGTGTGCTCTCCATTCTTTAAGCACCGGTTCGAGCACCGTTTAAGCACCGGCACTGTTTCAAAAGTACCGGTTTGGTACTGGTATCGGATAAAACCTAAACGATACCCATCCCTACTGATCAGTGTGTGATTCCTACAACTGAATCAGAAGATGAAACAGGTGTGTAAAAATAACATTTTGTTTTATTAATGTTTCCATTATTACTCTGTAAGACACTTGTAATAGTAGGCATATACATTTTTAATATCTCACTGTAATGCCACCCCCCCCTCTGCAGGAAGCACCAGATTCCAGATCCATATACTGAACTGTTATATCAAGGGATGGGAATAAATAAGAATTTAGCAATTCCGATTCCATTATTGATATCACTTAACAATTCTACTTCTTACTGAGATTTCAGGCTGTGTTGAAGAGTAAAAGTGGTCATACCAAAAATAACTTTCAAGATCGATAGAAATGTTTAAACATTTTTTTTTGCTTTGTTTACTGTATTTCCATATACATATATATGTATCTTAGCAAAATATAAAAAAAGACTGATGCAGAACTCAGCACAGTACTGTAACTCTGATCTTAAAGCTATGTAAATTAAAAGATTAACTAAAATAGCCTCACTTCTTTGGCCTTATTATTATCCATGTTGCACTCTACGTAATTCATAATGTGAATGAATGACATGAATTAAAATAATTGATGGTGATCTGATTCTTGTGTTTTTGCTTTTATATTGTTTGACACATTTTAGTAATTTCCTTTTTAAAAATTTTTTTAAATCATTTAATCATCTTTTTTCCTCATCTACACATTTCATTGTATCTGTCTTGTCTCTGACAATGATTAGACATAAACTCCTTTCATACCAGCTTGCACTACCACTTTTTTAAAATAGCCAACAGTCTTGTTTTCTCTTCCTTCACTTATCTAAGAGTAAGTGAAGTACATGTTCTTGTACTTGCTTAAGGACATGTTCATACTTAGAGTGCCCTCTAATGGATATAACTACATGGGCACTTCTTGATGCGTGCTCAATCGTCCAGGTAAATAAGTCCCTTTCTGGCTCTTTCTAATAAAATTCCTTCCGTTCTTTTTAGGATTTCTCGGCTTATGCTGACTTCCACAGTGCTTACAGCTAAACTTTGTGTCATTTGGTTACAGCCAAAAGTAATATAACTCTTTTGTCTTGCATGATGAAACACATCATCACTTCATTTTAAATCATTCAGGAAACTGTGCTCGCTGTCTTTCCTGTCTCTGTGTGTATTTATATACTCTGTGGTTTAAAAAAACAAGTCAGTATATGTTGTCACTGCTGCAGACATTCAGGTAGTATGTCCATTTACTTTTCTTACATGTACTTTTCATATTTATATATTTAAGAGTTTATTTTGTGTTTGATTTCCTTGTTTACATAATGACCCTGTGGTTTAAATTAATATAATTTTAATGTTTGGTATGTGTCTCACAGAGTACTTCCAAAAACCTGATATTTAGTCAGTAAGGGTGGGTTTTAAAAATTGCATTGATTTTAGTTTGAATAATGCGATAACGATTGATGAAATCTTGAATTGATTTTTCTGGTCTTCTTTTTCTGGTTCAGTGAATTTTGGAAACTGACTAAAGTTGTTGCTTCATAATGTGAGATGTCTGCTTTCAGCACTCGACGGCACCCACACGGACATGCCGTCAGGTGTAAACGTCACTCATGAGTTGCCTCAGAACTTTGCACAACACTGTAAATCTGAAACTTTTTTCATACCAGCTTGCACTACCACCTTCTTAAAATAGCCAACGATCTTGTTTTCTGTGTCTTGCCTTACTCTTTGGTATTCCTAAGAGAGTAAGTGAAGAGTAAGAGTAAGTGAAGCACATGTTCTTGTACATGTTTTAGGACATGTTCATACTTATAGTGCCCTCTAATGGATATAACTGCATGGGCACTGTTGCATTTTATCCTTATCACTAAACCTATTTTCTTTAAAATTATGAAAATGGTTTTCTACAGAATTTAAACATAGGTGTCATCATGTTCTCAACTCTATGAGATAATCACATGAAAAAAATAACTCATAAGGTTTTACTTACTTTACTTCAGCACAACATCAGTTCCTTGTCTTTAGATTCCAACTTAGCTGGAATCATGTAGTTTATTACATGATTCCATGTTTACCTTTTTTAATATCTGAGATTGAATGTGCTATGTTAAAGCTCACAGATTTAATGATTTAATAGATTTTGTTAAAAACAAAACAAAACATATACACACCACTTACCCTGTTAGTGTGGGGATGACCACCACTGTGGTGTTTGGAATTTTGCAAAACTGAAAAAAACAACAACCCAAAAAACAAATTAAACAGACACAAACTATCTACACATATAAATTAAGGGCTCTTTCTAATAAACACATCATCACTTCATATTAAATCATTCAGGAAACCGTGCTCGCTGTCTTTCCTGTGTGTGTGTGTGTGTGTGTGTGTGTGTGTGTGTGTGTGTGTGTGTGTATATATATATATGTATATATGTGTGTGTGTGTGTTCTGTGGTTTAAAAAAAAGTCAGTATATGTTGTCACTGCTGTAGACACGATACCACACTACTGACGTTGAAACAACTAGTAGCTCAGCGTTCCAAAATTCAGAAGAAGGAACGGCTAGAGATCGACAAGGTACAACACAAATGCTATGGCAAGGGGGAGCCAGGACGAAGTATCCAGGTCTTGAAACCTGAATATTCGTAAACTGATCCTGCTCATTTTAACTGTCATTTCAGATAAATAATCATGGCCTCCGGTGGTACTCTTTTATTCATTTTCACTGCCCTCTGTGTTACTGCAGTCAAGAGTGGTAAGTTTATTCATAATCTGAGAACTTTAAGCATGGAATGGTGTTTGGTACTCATGTAACCTCAAATCTATTTTTACTTTCTTTTTCTACAGGATTTGTGAAAGTGGAATGCAAAGCTGAAAATGTGGGACAATATGGCCAACAGTCACTGCTGGAGTGTGTCATCAAAACATCAACAGATATAAAGGATCCAACTATCCGTACGGTTGCTTGGAAAAAATTGACCTCGCCAGAAGACGAAGGTGATCCCGTGTTGGGTTTCAATAGATGGAAATTGGACCGGCCAAAGCGAGGCTACAGGTTTGCGGAACCATCATGGGACGAGAAGAACATGAATGTATCTCTGCTCATCACCAACACTGCAGTGGCAGACGATGGAGATTACAAGTGCATGGTGATCACAGACAGTGGTGATGACAGCATGGTCACTAACCTTGAAGTCCAAGGTAAAACTGACATATATTACAACATTTTAGCACAGACTTATTAAATCAAGATTTTAAATAAGAAATTGAATTACATTTTTTATCACATATAAAGGACTATGGCTATTACATATTATTATTATTATTATTATTATTATTATTATTATTTTATTTAATTAAAAACAAAGTGCAGTCTTCATGCTTTAGAAAAAAGGAAAGTTTTAAGCCTACTTTTAAGATTAGGCTTAAAACTTTCCTTTTTGCTAAAGCATATAGTTAGGGCTGGACCAGGTGACCCTGAATCCTCCCTTAGTTATGCTGCAATAGACATAGGCTGCCGGGGGATTCCCATGATGCATTGAGTTTTTCCTTTCCAGTCACCTTTCTCACTCAGTATGAGTTAACAGACCTCTCTGCATTGAATCATATCTGTTATTAACCTCTGTCTCTCTTCCACAGCATGTTTTTTATCCTGTCTTCCTTCTCTCACCCCAACCGGTCGCAGCAGATGGCCGCCCCTCCCTGAGCCTGGTTCTGCCGGAGGTTTCTTCCTGTTAAAAGGGAGTTTTTCCTTCCCACTGTTGCCAAAGTGCTTGCTCATAGGGGGTCATATGATTGTTGGGTTTTTTTCTCTGTATCTATGAAGCGCCTTGAGGCGACTTATGTTGTTATTTGGCGCTATATAAATAAAATTGAATTGAATCTTTGTAATTACGTTTTTATTTCTTTAGCCAAATACAGCACACTACACCTGAGAAAATTACTGCTGACAGCTTTTACATATCAGCTATTATAATAATCACATCTTTTAAAGATGTTATTTTATTAATGTCAAGGTGCAATGTTCAACTCAGTGATTGTGCTTCCCATTTTGTCTCTGCAGCCAGATACAGTATCTTGACTGTATACTCCATCCCTGAGAAAATTGTCCCAAATTCAGAGAGTACCCTAATCTGTGAGTCTCGTGGAGGCTACCCAAAGGGAACAATTCGCTGGTTTGATGAAGAGAAACATGACTGGACAGGAAGCTCTGAAATGGAGGTGACACAGTCAGACGATGGTTTGTTTCAACTCACAGGCAGACTCCCTTTGTTTAGAGGATCCACTTTCCAGAGGTATACCTGTGTTGTGTTAAATGCCAGTGGAGTCAAAGAGGATGAGATCATATTTGAAATGCCAGCACCACCAAGACTAACACCTCCTTCAGGTATACTTTATTACACAAAATTATGCACCACACGTGATACTTTATATCATATTCCCAGCAAAGATGCCCATGCCCACAGCTGGTAGGTGTGTTCAGCTGTGTGAGCAGGGCAAACCCACACATTCTATGTGGATCTCAAGTGAGTGTGCACATACAGGGTCCAAAGCAGTTTTGCCCTTTGGGGCTCCCAAGAGGGAATTCTGTGGACATCCACAGTTAATGACAGAAACCTATGGGGAGCTCATGAAGAGTAGCTACAGTGAGGAGTTCTTGTGGGGCTCCCCACAGTGCCTCCAGTGCATGGCCCAGGGCTCTGATAGGGGATATTTGCTGGGATATACAATCAAATATGAGAATTCATCTGTAGAATAAGTTTGTATTTGTGTCACATCAGATTGTATTGAACAATAAACTCTAATAGACTTAGAGCTTTTTATTGTCATTGTGCAGTTTCTTGCACAGTGAAATCGGCTAGCTGGACCACAAAGGTGCAAAAGTAAGAAGAAGAGAAACCAATATACAACTAGGGGGGAAAAACAGTAAAGGGTTTACACATTTAAAAAAATATAAATTGTATTTCAATTCTCTTTTTTACGTCTAAAAAAATAAAACAGATGTTTCTGACCAACATCGTATTGAACACTTAAAACAGTCTGGTGTTAAAGGCCAGGCCAGACTGGCTAATGCTTGTTGTTTTATAGAAAATTCCCCCACCCGTTCATTAACTATCCCAGGCACTCTCCTCACAATCCTATTATCCGTCACAATACTGCAAGTAATGCCTGCCATTTTGTTTCTTCTTTACTCTCTACTTCTACATGATTATTGTTTCAAAATAAAGGAAATGCTCAATTTGTACATTCCCCTCTGACAGGTAAAGAGACATTGAATGTAGTTTAGTATATTATAACAGGGAGAACTAAAAGACCAACAATTATCATGTATTCTTGTGTTTCCTAATTTTAGAGATTAGCTCACTATTTTTTTCTGTTGTTGGACAAGGTCCAGAGCCAATAGAGATCTGCAAAATAGTTGTCCGTCTGGTGGTAACTGGTTCACTGATGGTAGGATTGCTGTGTGTGCTGTTGTTCTACAGATGGAGAGCTCAACGTGAGTACGCGTTCCTCGTTTCTCTTATCTGATGGATTACACCTGTTTAAATGAACTGTCTTTTTAAGAAGAATCACATATAGAAAATAAATGTAACTATCCAGAATTGTTGATGTTTGAACATATTTAATATTTTAGTTTTTCTGAGAATCAAGACCCACTGTTTAAAAACTCCTTTACAATTTAACTTACCACAAGGTGCTCGCTAGATGTATCCACTGTAACATTGAGAAATGCCACTAATCAACACATTATTCAGCTGTTAATGTTGCTACTCATGAAGGAAAATTCTTACAGGCAAATGCTAAAGTGAAGATGAAAAACCTGTAACACCTTTTTTTCAGGATGGGAAAATGCACTCCTTTTGTTATTTTATTGGATTAAATGAGGCTACTGTAAACTTTAATCAAGTTTAATCAGGTTACTTTTTCAATAATTTTTCTTAATAGGCATCATAAGCTGTCTCATACAGGTGATAAAACACAAGTATAGATATCTACAGTAATTTTTTTTTTTTACCAAATACTGTCTTGTAACTTTTTTTTTCTCTTTTTGACAGAGGTCCAGAAGTGCTCTACTGAACCTCGTATGGGTACGTAAATCTTTGGATATACTGGATTTACTGCTCTTCTACTTCCTTCCTCCAGTATCACACTGAACATTTCCAGTTTTCAAAAGGGCAAGACTTCTGTTTGAGACACTTACAGCAGGATATCCGTCTGTGCTTGTATGTCCTGAACGTCTATATAAGTAAAATCTTAAACAGTGTTTTAAATCATTCCAGTTTACAGACCTGAAGTGAATCTGTAGGCAGGTATGTACATCACAGTAATCTGTCTGTATTTAACACTTGGTTTTAAGACATCATTCAGATTGTGATGTTAAATCTTTCTGTAGATTGCACTTCTCACATGTTTACAGGCCACCATATACTAATAAGAATACCAACATGCATCAAAATATGTATAAGACAAATACATATCAAAAGTCTAATGCCCTAATGCTGTTTCTTTGTCTCTCAGCAGGAGGCACCACACACCAGATGATTATACTGTATCAATTTAATGCAACACTTCCTTATTCGCTATTTGCGCTATTTGTATTTACCTATTGCAAACACAGTGTATAACCAAACATACCCTGTATTACTGCAATTTAGCAGACAACCCATAAGACCTTTATTCACTTAAACTCTGTATATAAAGAATAAAGTCTTGAGCTTAAAAAACCCCATCTTTGAATCAAGCCAAGATCAACGAGGCAGGGAACCGTTACAGCCAAGTCATTTACAAACAATCACACCAGACTAGAAAGTGAAGACTTTTGATTTCACTTGGTTGACTGAGGAAATGTTTGTGTACATATAACACAATCATGTGTTGTCCATACAGTAATTGTATTGCTTTGCAGTTAAACAGCATTTATTCTCACTTCCACTTCTCATGTTTATTATATATTTTGGGGATAGCACCACGTTGTTATGTGGTATGTGTGTAAATCTGTTGTTCCCAACCCATACAGACATACAATGATCTTTTTATGGTTTTATAATGCTTTACAAAATATATATTAACGTCACTTAGACAATGATACGGAATACGTAGAACTGTCTAAAGCCTGAATAACTGATGGAACTGTATGTTTGAACTGTGGCTTGACAGAGCAGTCAAGAAATGTTGGCCTTACTGTTATATGATGTACACTTCTCCAAAAGGGCATTAAATGGACTTTCCATCCCCCAGCTTGCTCCCTTCATGGAGGTGTATGGGAAAGACAGGATCTGTGAGAAAAATTCTCAATTCCACCTTAAATGTACAAAGTCTTGATGAAGAGGGTCTCAGGACTGCTTTATGTGAAGCTGAAGCTTTTTGAATGCTCGTCCCACAAAGTGTCACAGGCTGGGTCTCCGACCCAGCACCTTGAGCTTTCCTTGTATTGTTCTCATTTTTTGAGATGTTGTTAGTTTTGTGTTATTTCCTATTTGCCTTTAGTTTAGGCAGTTATTGTTCCTGGGTTTTCTGTTTGAGTTCTTGCATTATTCATCACGTATTTGGTATGTTAAGTTTGTATTGTCATGTCTAGTTTTAGTGTTTCCTGTTTTATTCTGACAGTGTCATGTGTTCTTTGGTCATTGTATTTAGTTTCACTCCTCCTGGTCCTGTCATTAGATTCATGTCAGTCAGCTGTTTCCTCATGTGTCGCCACTTCCCCTGATCACCTCATGTCTGTATTTAAGCCTTTTGTTTTCTTCATGCCATTGTCAGTTCGTCTGTTTATTCTCACCAGAGTCATAGTCATAGCCTGTTTATTTTTCCACCTCGGTCATAGTTATAGTTTTTGGTCTTAGTACCTTTAGTGTTTTGTTTCTTAGTGTTTTGTCAGTTCAGTGTTTTGTTTCTTAGTGTTTTGCCTGTTTGCTTTGGTCTCTTGGTTCATTTCCTGCCGTCATCGCAATAAAGGTTCACTTTTCTGTTAATCATTACTATTCCTCGTCATCATCTGCTTTTGGATCCTGTTTCCGCACACATCGGCGCACCCCGCCGTGACACAAAGGCTTCTACAAATCCAAATGACCTTGAAGCACTTACCCAGAACCACCTGTTGCTTCTTAAGACTGCACCATTACTACCACCAGGATGTTTTCAGAAAGATGACATATATGCTCACCGCACATGGAAATAAGTCCAATATATGTTGGATTTATTCTGGAAAAGTGGATTAAGGAATATCTTCCACAACTGCAACAAAGACAGAAATGGTGCAATCCAAGACGAAACTTCATGCCAGGACACATTGTGTTCATTGTTGATGGTTCAGCACAATGGAATTCCTGGATAACTGGAAAATCGAAGAGACAATTCAGGACAAAAAAGGATTTGTTCTTAAATAGAGCTATAAATAAAGTCTGTCTTTTGCAGGAAGCAGAGAACTTTAACAAACTTGAATTACTTAATCATCTCCAAGTGGCTTACTTTTTTTACTTATGGGTTATTAACTTCACAGATGGTGAACCGTGGTGTTATAAGTAGTGGTACTGGTCAATTTTGCACTACAGGGTAATTGGAATTCTTTATAAACCAGCAAAAGTTGTAAGACTTGATTATTTTGTAATTATGATTTGAAGAAGAATAATTAGGGGCCAGTATTGTAAGAGCCAAATTGAATGTTTATGTTTTGTTTATTTGTTCTGGTGGCACAGGTGTTTAGATTTTCCTGCACCTCAGGTGATTACATTGGGGTGTTATTTACCTGACGCTGGCGCACTAAACAGAAAGTACGGGTAAGTGTTGGGGTCTTTTTGCAAACTTTTCTGATGACCGTCATTTTAGCACGTTATTTCACGTCACCTTTCAGTCCTATTCACAAACAACGTAAGTTAATACATGCGCTATTTGTTTTGATTGAAAGTGGAAGTTTATTGTTTTTGTTTTAAAATAAAACAAAAACTAACTCAGCCTGATGGAAATCACAACACAGACTGATGCAACAAAAACCAGTAAGTAGGGTGTACAGCATACACCATAGTCTATGGCACACAGGAGTATTAGGTTATTAAGTACACGCTGGTAAGTTGTCTTGTAGAAACTGATTAATTGAAACAAATGAGCTGGCTGTGTGTGCAACAGCACAACAAAACATTACCTGTCCTTTTATTAACTGCACAAGTAGTGGTGGTCATTAGCTGCTAGCTAACTGGGTTAGGGTGTCAAGGGTTTGTAGCTTTGTCCACGGTTCAAGAGAACATATTTAGTTTTAAAGTAGGTTACAGGGCTTTTCCCTGCCTTTCTGGAGCACTTATATTTCACGAAAAACTATCTGATATGCCAATCCACATAATTATGGATCATTATAACATGATATTTTAAAAAATTACAGTGTTTAAAAAAATGCAAGAAGAAACAGATTATATTAGATTTATATTTGGAAAATGTCAAAATGCTGATTTTACAGCAGTAAAATTATTGTATTTCTACAGTTTAAACATTTAATAAGCTTTCTACCTTGCACAGAGTTGATAGTGAAACAAATTATATCATCATAAATGCATTATTTATATTTATTACTTTATTTTTTAAATTCTCATTACTTTATTATTATAGCACTAGGAGTAAATAACAAGGCAAGGATTCTGTATCAGCACCATGATGAAAACTTGTGTCCATAGTGTATTAGAATTAGTATTAGTATTCTAAAGAAGGTATAAAATGTCATTGTGCGTGTGTTTGTACATGTTTTACATGTATCGATTTGTTTAATATATTACACATGATATAACATTGACCACACATGCCCAGTAAGGACATGAGGAGGAAACTGACAGAAGGAGCTGTGAGAGACTGTGGATCCCTCAGCAGCTGGATTAAAAAGACAGGTAACATTAACACATGTACAGGTTGTTGCATTGCAGAGGTATTCAAGTATTAAAACAATAATAAACACAATTGCAATGATTTGGTTCTATAAAATTTTCTATTGTTACTTTATTATGGATTAGGTTCAAGAGTTATTAAGTGTGGATAATTAAATCATAGTTTAATGCAACAGCAGATTGTGCCTTGTTCTCAGATGGACAGAAAGTGGAGAATGATAGATCAGTGAGGAGATGAAAGGAGGAAGAGAGGCAAAGAGTGAGTCACAGGCAGAGCGTTGTTTATTTCTGGTGTGTTATGGTTCCAATCTTTGCATTGTATTGTTATCATCTCATAGCACTTGTTTAATCAGCTACCATCTCTCCTATGGACTTCTTAATGTCTACAGTCTCAGATCAGCACAGCTCTGCCCTCCAGCACTGTTAGCAGCAGGAGCAACCGCTCAACAGCAACATTGTAACCATCAGGTAAAACATAGGCTACATTTGCTTTGCATTGTTCCCACCTGATGACAGTGATATAGTATGATACGATTTTATATTAGATTCTTGATTAATGTGGGTTTTTGTTATTCAGCCTGGTTTTAAACGCCCCTTTTTAACTTTGAGCACCCGCCCCTTTAAACATCTCTGCATGGCCCTGAGTACCTTTAATAGTACCTTATAGTATTGCTGTTTGTGCTATAACTGTCAATATTAAAGAAGGGGGGCACAGTGACAAGTTTTCTGTCTTAATTTATGCTGGAAGTGATAGCAGAGCTGTACATTTAAATTTTTCAGAAATCCATCAGTCAGAACATGGTATATTATGTTTAGCTGGAAACTAGCAAGCTAACGCCAGGCTAACTTCCCATTACGTTAAATTTCATGAGTTCTGTTTTCACGGATGCCTGGATTTTGAACTTAATTGGTACACCTGGTAGAGCAGCCACACTGACCATTTTATTAAAGATGAAATAATTTAGACAGTTTGTAATGCTAAGTGATACCGCAGTGTTTGTTTGACTTTGGGAGCTGAAGCAGAGTTTGGACCTGGAATCGGCTAATGTCGTCAGACTTAAAGACCGGGTTACTATAAGCTATGCAGAGCAAGTCCTCTTATTAATAAACAATCTTTGGTCAACCATGGAGGTACGCATGCCGCGTCATTCCCTGGTTACAGCAGCCTGGGGAAAAAAATGATTTCTTCAGCTATTGGTTATGAGTTTTAGCTTCTTGTGTTTTATGCGTAAAGGAGGAACAGGTGCGCAACATGGCTAACAAAATTAAGCCAGAGGAAAATCCCAAATCTGAGTACGGTGAGCTGATGTCAACCATTGGTGTTCTCAGAGATCTGCTTTCAGCCTTTAAAGTTTCCAATGGCAGCTGAGAGAACAATGAAATAAATGAGTTTAGAGTTAAATGCTTTGTAAGAACTGTGTTCATTTGTTGTTAGAGATTTAAATCAGTTTCTAAATTTTTTTAAATAAAATTATTATTAGCATAAACCCATTGTTTCTAAAGTGGATTATATTTTTATGAGTGTTAGGTTGTTAAGTTCAGTGTTATCTTAATTATCTTCCTGTTTAACAGTAGGCAGTGTATTTTTATCCCACGTGCCAATATTAGCCTAATGAAACTGTTTTATTGTTTTACAGATAACTTAGTTGTAATATGTTTTGACAGTTTTTTTGCTGACAAATCAGGACACCTCAGAAATCTGACTGTAAGGAGAACGACAAAATATCCAAATGGGAGAAAATAAGAGGCTAAAATAGCTTTAAACAAGTGCATCCTATCCTTTAAATTGTATTCCATTATTAATGTCATGCTTAGAATTAACCACAGTGTCAGCTGAGCATGGCCTGATCAGTTAACATTGTTTCATATCAGTCCTTCAGTATTGCAGCATCTTTGAGGCCAAACATCTCCACTTTGGCCATGTCTGTCCAAGGGACACTGTCCCAGAACTCTCGTGATTTGTTCACATAAAACTTTGCAAAATCCTGCTGCCATGTTGTTTTGGGGGAGAATAAACTTCTTATTCCTTTTTCATTATTTTGCAAATTGGTGTTCGAATAAAACAACCGTGTTTTATTGTAGCCACTGGAATTTCTGTCATAGTAATTATACTGCAGCACATCTATGAACAATCAGCCCATAAAATATGAATACAAGTCTGTGAAAGTTTTCCTTATTCACTTACAAGTAATTCATTAACTTTAAAAATAGGGCCCCTGCTTTTAAAGTTAAACAAATATCACTGTAAGAAATATTTCAGGAACTGGCTAAATAACCCATATGGAAAAAATATATATAAACCTTATAAAGTTTGTATCCATCTTGTGTGAAACTTGTATGAAAAGCATACAAGAGTGAAAACAGAAAAATTATATAAATGAAACTTGTATGTTCTGGATACTTACTAAAACAATAAATGAAAGGGGCCACTTTCATGAGTAAATCATATAAGCCTTATATGATTCACTATATGAAGTAGGCCACATCTGATGCAAGTCTTTTATAAGTTTTTCTATTTCTTTTCCATATGGGAAACCTCCAGTATAAGCAGGTTAAAAGACGACAATGGTCAAAATATGTCTTTATACAAAAGGGCCTGTTATTCATAACAGCACCTTCTCCATTGTTGCACTGTTATATACACAGAGAAATCAGCAGTTCAAAAATGTGTAAGAAACTGTGTGTCCTTGATCATCTTTTCATAAATAAGGAAGCTGTTGTTTAATGATGAATGTTTGCCTTTATCTTGGCAACCAGTGCAGTTTGATCCTAATTTCACAGGACCTGTAATGAATAGGTAAGTCTCACTCAAAGCTCACTGGATAGGTGGTGAAATCCTTACATTTTAGCCCCCCTGTCCTCTGTCTAGCTGTGTGGTTTCTGGTGTAATGTGTAGAGCAGGGCGATATGGCCAAAAATATTTATCACGATATATATTTGAAAATTTGCGATAATGATATAACTGACGATATAATTGATGCGAGACAAAATACAACTCCACAACATTACTAGCGCAAAAAGACAACCTTCCATTTATTTTCACTTAAACAAGAAGCTGGTTTTTATGTACATTAAAGCTTTATAAAAATGTAACAGTGCAAATGCAAATTCCTTGCTGAAAGTTTAACCAAAAGGCATTTCCAGTAGAAATGTGCTGACACATCCTGAGCATAACCATGTATAATATCCACTGAAGTTAAAAAGATTAAACTGCAGTGTGCAGTACGTATTTTTCGGACCATAAGGTGCACGGGATTATAAGGCACATTAAGCGAAACAAAGCAGTCAGATAAATCAAACTTTATTAAACTCATTCTTCTTGCTTCCTCCACTTCTGTACTATTGATTCATTAATGTTGAATTCTCTGGCAGCTGCTCTATTCCCATGTTGTTGCAGTATATTAATGACTAACCTCGTATTGTGGATGGATTATCTCAGTTGTTCTCCTGACTGAAGTTTGGTCCGTTTACAGCATCCTGCCATGCGATTGCATTTGTCTCTAACCATGAGGAACCTTCACGTTAACTTTTATAAGTGGAAAAATGTTAGTGTTCGTCCTCCAGCTTCACTGTTTATGTTATGCTAACATAGCTGTGTCGCTAGCGATCACGTAGCACATCATTATATACCAGCTAGCCCAACTTCAGTAACCCTACAAACGTGCTGTTTAGTTTCCTGTCTTCATTTATGTTGGACGTGATAGCAGAGCTGTACGTTTGAATTTTTCCAGAAATCTCTGTCAGAACATGCTATATCATGCTTAGGTAACTAGCGAAGCTAGCAAGCTAACTTCCGCTAGCTTCCTGCTAACTCCGTTAAATGTAATAAATTTTGTTTTCATGGATGCCTGGAAGTTAAACTTCATAGTTACACCTGGTAAAGCAGCAATGCTGATCGTTTTATTAAAGATGAAAGAATTTAGACAGTTTTTAACTCTCAGTGATGCTGCAGTGTTCGTTTGACCAGAAGCATATGGAGTTTAGGACCCAGATTACTCCCACATTTAAGAGCATCTTAGTCCAACAAATATGACAATAACAACGGCCGCTTGTATGTTCTGCAAAAAAATGTGCTTTGTCGTGTATCTGACGGACAAACACCAAACCAGTTCCACATCACTGAAGTTGCACCATTTTTACAACCCAATTGTGGTTCATCTGTTTCACTCAACAATCGGCCATGTGCGTATGAAAACAAAGGCACTGCGCATGCGCGTTTTACTCATATTCTACCGCGATATTTCATTTTCCTATCGTTACCTAACATTATACCGGTATTACCGTGAACAGTATAATATGGCCCAGCCCTAGTAATGTGTGTGTTTTTGTTGACCCCTGGAAGACACATTTATCACCACAAAATTAAACACCCATGCAAGACTTACCCTGTCCATGTTACTTAATGTTATCTCACTTCTTTTTAAAAAGAAAACACAGACGGTGTACTGATATAATGCGCGATATTCTCTTCCTGCTGTTCATCACCTATAGTAGTCAAAGTTTTAGTTTTAAAAGAAACCTAACCCTGTCACCCAAACTTTATCTGCCCCACTGTTTTCATATGTCCTTGTTTTTCACTCCACACTCACTGCTGCACTTTAGCAAACAAAGTCTCAATAAAGAGTCAATTATTAGTGTAGTATTAATGTGCTGTGCAACCAGTCAATTATGCTCATAAACCATTTGTTTTATTACAAGTGCATGTTTGAAACAATGTAAGACAGGCCATCAATTTACTTGTCCTTACCGCTGGCTGTGAACACTTCTGATTGTGAGAGTTCCTGTTCTCCCCCATTGTCTGCATCATGAAATGCCCACCCCTTGTCTGACCTCTAAAAAAAGTAGAAAAGTTTTGATCTGAGTCAGTGAGAGTAACAATCTGAATATAACTACTGTCCGATGCAGAATTTTTTGGTATACTGTATTTGTTAAATGCCTCTTACCGGACTCGTGATGGTATGACATATAGTCTGATTGCTGACAAAAAACCATCAAAAACGGTTGTAGCTTTGTTGTTGGTGGCAGCTTTAAGGTAGACAATTAACCTAGAAGAACCATCTATCCCACCATGGACAACAAATCTCCTTCTGACAAGGCAGAAATATAAAAAGAAATGTACTGACGACGGCTTGCAGTCTGAATAGATAACCTTCGCATCATGACCCCTTCTGGATTGACTCGTCTCATTGAATCCATCAGTCGAAATGCTGATTAACAAACAGATCATATCTACAAACAACTACAACTACACAAAGACTGTATTGTAAACACTGTGATGCATATATGACAGATCATCCTTGCTTGGTACCTGCTTTTTAAGGTACCATTTGTGCTACACTTCTGATGAAGAGGAAGAATATGTGGAAGAGGACCCAGCTGAGACAGAAGAATATATCCAGTCAAATATATAAATATCCAGTCAAAGGATGAAAAATTGATCTGGTCTTTAGTTCCTCCCAGCGACAGATTATGCAAGTTGACAATAAAGAGAGACAAAAGCCACCATGGTCCAACTGCATTAATGCAGGTCTCGTATTAATGACATAAATTCCACTTTTTCCCAAGTTTATTGAAGAGGTGGTGCTGAACATGACAAACAAGGAGGGCCGACATGTGTATGGCATCAAGTGGAGAAAGATGGATTGAATCGACCTGCAGGCATATGTGGGTATGCAGATTTTCGCTGGTGTGTACCACTCCAGTAAAGAAGCTACGGCTAATTTATGGCATGCTGAGTCTGGTAGGACAATTTTCCGTGCTAGCATGACACTCAAGATGTTTCATAAAATCTAAAGAGTGATTTGATTCAATGATAAAGACACAAGAGAAGATTGTCATGCACAAGGCAATGTTGCTCCCATACGAGATGTATGGGATAAGTAGGTGTCTCTTCTGCCAATGATGTACAATTCAGTCACTGATGTGACTGTGGATGAGCACCTAGTGTCATTCAAACAGCTGTCCATTGTCACTGTGCATTCAAACAGCACATCCCAAGCAAACCAGGGAAATATGGAATAAAAATATGGGCAGCATGCGATGCCAAGTATAGTTATGCATGGAATATGCAAGTATACACTGACAAACCTGCTGTGTAATTGCACTATGATTTGTTATAATAAAGTTTGACACCAGCAGCTGGCAGACTGGTTATGGAGAACCAGCACTTCTGCTCCAGCTCTACCTCTGCAGCAGTTCTTCCTCAACCAGCTGTCCCTACTGGCCCATCACCCAAGGGGGTGCAAATTCTGCCCTTGTAAGACTGATCTCAAAACATCAAAAATGGGCCAAAAATGCAATCCATACATCTGCAAAAATCAACCTATTGATTTGAAAAAGAAAAAAATTAAGTGCTTTAAAACTAACATGCCATCTTAACTTTTACATATTACAAAAAGAGTATGGTAATTTGGAAGACATTACAAGGGTTAAACTAATGGATTCAGATATTTGAGTACTTCCAGAATTCCCACCCACAAAGTGGTGGCTAGTAGTAGTGTAGTAGTATCAATGGTACCAGGAACTGTAACCCTCTGGTGAGTCTACAGAGATACATTTTCAAACTTGTCTAAGAGATAATTAACTTACAGTCAATTCAGGGTCAACTGATCCAGCCCGAACTATGATCTTTATAACAAAAAACAAAAATTTCCAGCATTATCTTAAAAATAGAGAGGTCTGTTTTGTGAATTCAAACGGGGAACTGACTTTATAGCAAAGGGGCCTGGTAGCTGAGGGCTCTACCTCACAGTCTCAGAGCAAAGTGTTGTGATATGATGATTGATGAAGTCTTATCATTCAGGATTAAAGTGGATTTAAAATTAATGTTTACTAATTGGTTAACAATGTCATGGTCTGGGTGAGTAGATGTATTTTTCCCCTAAACCCTTAACGGTCTGCACCTGTTTGCAATTTGGACTACCTGCATAAAAGACCAGCGCTCTCAATGAGTCCTTGCCAGATCTTCTGCTAGCCTGCGTTAGTGTGAGGCCTCCAAGTTGTGCTATGCTTTTATTGTAAATATTTCTTGACTTGCCTCTCCTTTCACCGCCCCCCTCCTGATCACTAATGCGCATGTTAAAAAACACAGCAAAGCAGCAGGCAGAGTTAAGAGCTCTGCCTATCCGGGGTAAATCCTGATCAATTTCGTTTTAAGAAGAAACTCCGGTGAAATAAAAGAATAGTGACTGCCACTGCTCCTCTCTCCTTTAGTTGGCACCAGACAGGCAGAAAGGACAGGTGAGGACGGATTTTAATTTTGTGGCTGAGGCCATTGGACTTTTTGGCTGTATTGTTTTTATGCTTTTAACTTTGTTCTCCCTGGAAGGCGTGTTTTAACTGTTTTTGTCTTTTTCTGAAATTATTTACATAAAACAAATCTTTTATATTTTTCTATTGCCTTGGCTCCCCAACTGCTCTGTCCGCTTTTGAAGGGTTTCCCATACCTGTTGTCCACACGCTCACTCAGGTCGGTTCCTGCAACAATAAATGAGTAAAGATTGTATTAGTGATGTGTCGGTTGCGAACGAAATGCCTCTTAGAGCTGCCTCTTAGAGCCGGATCTTTGACGTGAACGACGTGAGCCGGCTCCTTATCGCGAGCCGTGGGGTTTAAATAGTTTTAATTTCAATAGTTGAAAGTTGAAACGTGAATAGTTTTGTATTATATGATTTCTTTATTACATTTTACGTGGAGTGAATAAATAAAAGTATATTTACGGTGGCCCCTAGAGACAAAGCACGTACAAACTTCAAAACACGTCCGAACGCTGAAGCACGTACAAACCGTGAAGCCCGTACAAACTCAAAAACACGTAAAAACTCCAAAACACGTAAAAACTCCAAAACACGTAAAAACTCCAAAACACGTACAGCTCTTTCGGCTCGGCTCACTAAAAAGAGCCGGCTTTTTCGGCTCCGAACCGGCTCTTCAGATTGTTTTGTTGCTTTAATTTATTATTAACAATGATATAAAATTATGCACAAAAGGAATTACTAATGTTTAAAAAAAGTGGTTTTATTTATATATGTTTACATATAAATATATGCGGTGGCCCCTAGAGACAAAACACGTACAAACTCCAAAAAGCACGTACAAACTCCAAAACACATTTCTAGCGTTAACTGAACTTCCAAAGCAGAGCTACCTGGATCACTTAAATTACACAATTGAAAGCATATGTGTATTGTTTGTGTATTTATACACAAGCACTCATATATATTCAAATAATTTAAAAAAAAATGTTCATTTACCTGTTACTACCACACACCAAATCCGGTCGTTGGTACTTGCTGGGTTGTGTAGCCACTAGGTAACAAAAGCTCAACACTGCGCCTAGCATCCTGGAGCACTTCTGTTGTGTTTTGTACTGTTTTGAGTTTTTATGTGCTTCTGAGTTTTTACATGCTTCGAAGTTTGTACGTATTTTGGAGTTTTTACGTGTTTTGGAGTTTGTACGTGTTTTGTCTCTAGGGGCCACCGCATATATTTATATGTAAACATATATAAATAAAACCACTTTTTTTTAACATTAGTAATTATCATCCCAGTCATGGTGTGGGTGCTTATCTTTTAGTGTTGGCTGTAAAACCATTATTTTATTCATATGTTAACCATATTAGGATATTTTTCTATCTTATATAGAGGTTCATATAATAAACTCTTGTTGTTTGGTTTTTACATGTTTCATTTTATTTAAAAATCTTAAAAGTCACATTTTAACATTTATTTTTACGTTTATTTTTGTGAACTTTGAACATTATATGTTTACACAAAAAACCCAAATAATTCAAAATTGTTCATCTTTCTTTTTTTAAGTTTATGTTTTTGCAATTTATATATGTTTTACAATTTTTCAATTTTAAAGGAAATAGCAGGCAGACTAACGTGATTTTTTTTGGAAGACAAAAAAGGTAATTTCGGCTGTTTGCAGTCTTTCATTGGACAAGGCCTTGTATCCAGCATGATCAAACAGTACCCATGATAAATGGATCTATCACAAATGCTGATAAGAATAATGTTCAGATATGTATATCATAAAAGACCCTTTAGAATATAACATTTAATAATACAAAAGTATTTATATATTTTTGAAAATATAATTTATATTTTAGATGTTAATAAAATGTTATACATTTTTTTCAATCATCTGCAGTATCGACCTGTCAAGTCTGTGTCAAAGAAATATTATATATGTGGGAGAGTCTGACGGAGACATAAAATAACTAGCATGAATGAGTACCTTGAATAGTACCATATAGTAGTGCTGTTTGTGCTATAACTGTCAATATTAAAGGAGGGGGAGGGGGCAAACTGACAAGTTTTCTGTCTTCATTTATTTCACAAGTGATAGCAGAGCTGTATGTTTTAATTTTTTCAGAAATCCCTCAGGCAGAACATGGTATATGTTTAACTGGAAACTAGTAAGCTAACTGCATGCTAACTTCTAACTACATTAAATTTGATAAGTTCTGTTTTCACGGATGCCTGGATTTTAAACTTAATTATTATGCCTGGTAGAGCAGCTACTGCATACATTTTAATTTAAAAAAATTAAATTTATCCATACGCAAAAACTGAGTTTTCGAAAATCTCCACCGTGGCAGGAGTTCTTAAAAATCTCAGTTTTCAGTGATTGAAAACGCAGTTTACATGTGGATGAAAGGTGCAAATGCATAGAAAAAGCTGCGTTTTCAAAAATACGTGTGTACGTAGCCTTTGTTTCACTGCTGTTGAGCTGTTTTTTTTTGTTTTCAGTGATTATTTTACACTTCTTAGGCTACGTCTACACTACTCTGTTTTCCTTGACCAAAAAAGCCATCTCACTGAGACACTAATTGTCTTACGCAGTTTCAAACAGCTAGAACAGATTCTGTTTGGCAGAAACTTGTGAGTTCAACTTTCTCAACAGTTTTCCACCTATTTAACTTCAAATCTCAAATATCTTACTGCAATGATAGATTACCAGAGTTTTGAATGAGAGTGTATAGGAGTCAATCACAGTGATCAACCCACAGGGCGTTCCCTCTCAAAAGACAAGCAAGGCACGTCAGAGAAAAACCATGCCATGAAAGAGCTCAGGTCTTAGGAGGTTGAAAATGTCTCTGCTGATGAGACCAGTGAATGTGGGGCGACGGTGGCAAGAAAAAACTCCCTCCTGGAGGAAGAAATCTTGGGAGGACCAGGCTCTCTGGGAGGACCCTTCCTCCTAAGGGCAATACTTACTAATATTTGTCCTCCAGTCAGCGATGGTGGACTGGGACGACTGCTTTTCCTTCTCAGCATGATGATGACCTTAACTTCCTTCCGTATCCTGTTTTAGAACTGAGAATGAAGACAAAACTGGTTAACAAGGAAATAGCACATTTAAAAATTCTCTCACTTCAGGATGAGATTCTGTGTCTTCTTACGTTTCTCTTGTAAAACAGCATGTAGGCCGAGTGCTGCTGTTCCTCACAAGCTGCAACTGATCGAGTGAATGTTTGTCTGAAAACTTAAACTGAACTCCAAGCGTACCATTGCTCCAGCTTACCATCTTTACCTGAGTGAATCAGTTTGTTGAACAATCTAAATGATTCAGAAACTTCTGTGACATCAACTTAACTAAGGCTCATTACAAATTTCACAAAACACTGCTGAATACTTTTAATATTTTTTTTATTAGTTATTTTTGTTTTTGTTATTTTGATTTTAATAAAACAAAATAACATAAAGAATCAAATTTTCTTTGTTTTTTAAATTTAATTTATTTTACAAATAAATTAATAATAATATTAATAATAATAACAACAAATTAGTGCTGTCAGCGTAAACGTCATTAGTTAAAATGACGTTAACGCTGACAGCACTAATTTGTTGTTCCAGAGAGCAAGCCAAACACTGGTCTAGAAAAGGACGATCTCTAGTAGTGCTGCACTACTAGTAGATTTTGTTTTAACCTCCTAGGACCTGGTGTCCACATATGTGACATAACATTTATGAGACCAAAATACAAAATTTTGCTCTTCAAAAACCTGATATCCACTTATGAGGGAGGACATTACACTGCCCTGTTCAATCGAACTTTAAAATGAATGTCCTCATATGTGGATCTCATTTTTTGAGAAACAAAAAAAAGATAGTCCGAATCTGATGTCTTTGTTTTCACATTCATCGGATCCCAATCAACCCAATTGGCACAGAGAAATTAAAAATGCATGCCATGAAAGAGTTCAGGTCTTAGGATTTAAAAATGTCCCTGCTGATGAGACCAGTGAATGTGGGGCGACGGTGGCAAGAAAAAACTCCCTCCTGGAGGAAGAAATCTTGGGAGGACCAGGCTCTCTGGGAGGACCCTTCCTCCTGAGGGCAATACTTACCAGTACTTGTCCTCCAGTGTGCGATGGTGGGCTGGGACGAGTGTTGTTTCTTCTCAGCATGATGATGACCTTCCTTCCATTTCCTGTTTCAGAACTGAGAATGAAGACAAAACTGGTTAACAAGGTAACAGGACATTTAAAAATTCTCTCACTTCAGGATGAGATGCTGTGTCTTCTTACGTTTCTCTTGTAAAACAGCATGTAGGCCGAGTGCTGCTGTTCCTCACAAGCTGCCGATCCGGTTGTGTGGAGCACCTGTGCGTCATTATAGGTGAGCCAGCGATCTGATGTAGAGTGCTGACTCTCCTCAGGATGGACAGAACTACAGATGTAGTGTCCTGAAATCACATTAAGACAAATGAATCCAACTTCTGGAAGTCAGCTGATTCAAGCAAACAGTGATTTTGACTTAGTGCGTCTTAGAACATCAAAAGCTTTTGTGTGTGAGTCCTTCACTGAAAAGTAGAAAGTTTTCATTTTCTGTTTGTAACAAGTCTGTTGTTTTACCTGATTCTGTGCCTCCATAATGATTGATGATGCTGACAAGACTATAACAGCCACCACCCTGAGAAGGAACAAATCCAAAGAGTGTTAGTTTCATAAAGTCTCACATCAGAGCCATAATTAAGCTGATTTGCTGAGGCTACGTCCACACTAATGCGTTTTCGTTTGAAAACACATCGTTTTCTCTCCGCTTTGACCTCCCGTCCACACTGAGACGGCGTTTTCCTCAAGGAAAAACACAGCATCTTGAAAACGCTCTCGAAAACGCACACATTTCAAAACGGAGTTGTCCCGTCGCAGTGTGGACACTCGAAAACGCAGACTTTCTAAAACGATGACGCATTTTAGCCATGTGATGCAGTCATGTGAGCAATTAAACAAAGATAGCCGAGTGCATTATACAGCGGTTGTTTTGATTGCTCTCAACTTTGAAAGCCCTAAAAAAGATTAATATCAGTTTGTACATGCTCCGGATAGCTTTTCTTCAAATTCTGTAATCCTCACTCACTTTTGCGCATGCGCAGGACTGGAACGTAAGCGTTTTCGGTCGTTTCAATGCAGACGCACAACTATTTGAAAATGACTGAAAACACTAGTGTGGACACGGAGTTTTCAAATCTATCAGGGCTAGTGTGGACGTAGCCTGAGACGTTCTGCAGTCTGTTTTTACCTGATTGGATGGCACCACCAAGTCCCTCTGCAGCCTGACGGGGTCATCCACCTTCTTAATGTTGTAGGTTTGTGTAAAGCCAAACCTCTTCAGATGCAAGATCAGGACTCTGGCAGAAAAGAAAAAAAAAACACAAATAAGGTAGAAAATAAGAAGAATGAGTGTCAAACACAAACAGAAGATGGGAGAAAACGACTGCTCAAGTATTGTCTCGAAAAACTCTGATATTTGATGCGCCACAGTTTGGAAACCTGGTCAGTCGATCACTTCTGATGTGACCTTACTCACCTTGGCAGTGTATCAAAAGACGACTTCAGTTCTGAGGCCGTCCCTCCACAATCACAGCGAAATTCTATTTCTTGTTCCTGAACAACAGCACAGAGAAAACAGGCTTTATGGTAGAAAGAAATCTCAACATATGCACACACACATACGCACAAACACTAACAAAAAAGGTGTGTTAAGATCGCTGACACTACAACTCTATTGGAATTTGTGATCTTACCTTCAAGTATGTCTCTAACATGTTTATAATAGACCCCTCTGGAACAAGGTCAAGAGACAAGCTGGTGAAGTCCTCGTGCTGTGATGATTGGTGACCACAGCTACACATTTCAGGAGTAACGTAGTTAAAGTAAAGATCAGGTAGGTGGAAAAGAGGTATATGAAAATATTGCAACCAGCTCTGCGTTTCTGAAAGACAGGCTTACCTCTTGCATGTCCTCATGTTTTCCATTTTAAAAATGTGATGCTCTTCTACTG